GACATAACGTTATGGCACAGGCAAGCAGGGTCAGCCACAGGGAAAACAAGGATTACTATATTACCCACAAGAACATGACCTAAACCTCCAGGGGGAAGTCCCTGGGTGAACATGAGATATTCAGATATGGATCTGGGTGTCAAGCTGGCCACCCGAATGACGTTCAGGGTGCCGCCTGTGGAGATGTCACTTAGCAGTTCTTTACTGGTCTCCATGGTTGAGTCACACACCCTGTTGTTTTTAACCTTCGCGTCACAGGAACTTACAGTACATAGGACATGAGCTTCTACCTCAGGAACGTTGGCTCCATGAGGTACAGCAACGGAAGCAACGCCTGAAACAGTACTTTGTTTTGTTAAGTTAATATCAGAGCTCCCGTTATCAGTGGTTGTCTTCTCAGTGGAGCCAAACACAGCGTTCTCTGACTCACAACATGGCTTTGACTGTGTCTCGTTCATGGAAGAAGTCATGTCAGCCAATACAGTTTGCTTAACGCTTAAAGAGTCAGAAATGCAGCCCGAGTCGTTCGTTGCTCCTGTAGTGCAATTCATGACTGTCTCTAGGTGAGCATATTTAGACGCACAAGACACCGACTTGACCATGGATTCACAGTTTACCGGATCACTAACAGATCTTAAATCCCGAACAGGATCGTTACTGGTCTTTGGAAAAACAGTTTGTAAAGATGGGTTACACTTGTCAACCATGGGATCCGGAACATTAATTTCACGCAACACAGTTATAGGAGCTAAAACAGAGTCAGTCTTTGATTTAATAGCATCATGGACAAGATCCAAGTTCTCTTTGGCTTCTCTCTCGGCTCTCTTCAACATGGTGCTTTGCACAGTACAGCACGATTCAGACAGAATCTCAGACTCTGAGTTGTTCAGCTGCTTTTCTTGGAAAATACTCACATAACTTTGAGTCTTAACAGATAAACTTAAACAAGGACTAGTCACAATGTTACAACCTCTGGACACTGCGCCAGGGGGTTCGTGATTTGCATTGTGCACTGGTGAAGTTTCATTTCTAAACTCCATGGAACAACAGTTCTCAATAGGGTCTATACATGGAGAAGTTAAATTAACACAGTTCGTGGAGGTCTTCCCTTGTGAGTTGACATTGGCTGTCATGCTAGTGGGGCTGCTGCTAGCAGCCTTGCTTGCAGTCACATGAACCCCGAACGCTGTGGCAGAAGTAATTTCAGTCTCAGAGCTTGGCTTGGCATGGCTCGTTAGTTTACAGCCGGGCCCCTGAACCGGCAACACAGTCTTAATCGCGGAATCTTCCTTAGCGGAGACGTGAGGGGCAAAAACAGAGTCACTCACCTCCGTTTGTCGCGCAGCGCGACGGGGACGCGAACGTCGTTTCTTCTTGGCTGCAGCTCCTGATGAACCAGACAACGGCGCCTCATGC